GTGACTCTTACCAGGTGGCTCCAGAGGTGCATAGGCTGTGGTTGAACTTGTCCTGCAGATGGACCCCTCCTAGGACTGTGCCACTGGGCACCACACACACCTACTACCTAAAGCCACTCTACTAAGACCAGGAGACTTAGGAGCCCTACCTAATACACAGAAACAGACACAAGGAGGAAGCCAAAATGGGGAGACAAAGAAACATGTCCCACATAAAAGAATAGAACAAAGCTCTGGAAAAAGAACTCAAAATGTAGACAAGCAATCTACCAGATGCAGAGTTCAAAACACTGGTTATAAGGATGTTCAATGAACTTAGGGGATAAGTAGATTAACTCAGTGAGAACTTTAACAAAAAGATAGAAAACATAAAAATAGAGATGGAACACATAAAAGGGAACCATTTAGAAATGAAGAATATAACATCTGAGATGCAGACTGCATTAGAAGGAATCAACAGAGTGGATGAAGCAGAGAATCGAATCACTGAGATAGAGGATGGGGTAGCCTAGGACACCCAATCAAAACAGAAACAAGAAAAAAGAATCCAAAAATATGAAGACAGTTTAAGGAGCCTCTGGTACAACATCAAGTGCAACAACATTCTCATCACAGGGGTACCAGAAGGAGAAGAAAGAGGGCAAGAAATTGAAAATCTATTTGAAGCAATAATAATGGAAAACTTCCCTATCCTGGTGAAGGAAATAGCCATACAACCCCAGGAAGTTCAGAGAGTCCCAAAGAAGAACCCAAAGAGGCCCACACTAAGACATATCATCATTAAAATACCAAAAGTTAAATACAAAGAGAGAATCTTATAAGCAGCAAGAGAAAAGTAATTAGTTACCTACAAGGGCACTCCCATAAGCCTGTCAACCGATTTCTCAAAAGAAATTTTGCATGCCAGAAAGGCTGGGCACAAAATATTCAAAATGATGAAAACCTAGGACCTACAACCAAGATTATCCAGCAAAGCTATCAGAATCAAAGGACAGATAAAAAGTTTCCAAGCTAAGAAAAAGCTAAAGGAGTTCATCACCACCAAGCCAGTATTACAGGAAAAGTTGGAGGGTCTTCTTTAAGAAGAAAAAAAAAGTATCAAAAATATGAATAAAGAATGGCAATAACTTCAGATCTATCAACAAGTATTTCAAATGAAAAAGAATTAAGAACTCCAATCAAAAGATAGGGTTGCTAAATGGATAAGAAAACAAGACCTTACATAGGTTGCCTACAAGAGATTCATTTCAGATTAAAAGACACACGCAGACGGAAAGTAAAGGGATGGAAAAAGATATTTCATGATAGATATTGTGTTGAGTGGAGTAAGTCAGATAGAGAAAGACAAATGCCATATGATTTCACATACATATGGAATCTAAAGAACAAAATAAACAACAACAACCACAGAAACAAACTCATAGATACAGAGAACATTCTGAGGGTTACCAGATGTGAGGGGTTTGGGGGAGTCAGTGAAAAAGGGGGAAGGGATTAAGAAGTACAAATTGGTAATTACAAAATAGTCATGGAAATATAAAGTATAAGATAAGGAATATAGTCAATAATATTGTAATAACTGTGTACAGTATAGATTTATTAGGGTGATCACTTTGTGAGTTATATAGATGTCTAATCACTATGTTGTACACCTGTGTTGTATATAATATCGTATGCCAACTATAATTGAAAAATAAAAAATATTATTAAGAAAAAAACTGTCTCTGGTTTCAGTATGAAGATAGGCCTAGGAGGGAAGCGCAGGGTGCAGAGGGACGAGGAATGAGGCTACTGCAGCTACTGAGGGGAGAGAGCAGGGTAACCCCGACTAGAGGATGGCCATGGAGAGAGAGAAGCGTGTGGATTCTAGACATTTAGGGTGTAAGTCACCAAGTCACCAGACGCCACTTAGAGAGGCATTCAGAATGACTCAGAGGTTTCTCGTGTAAGAAGCTTCATGGATATTGCTGCTACTGATGATAATAGTCATACCCTTTGACCCAGTCATGCTCCTTCTAAGAATATATCCTAGAGAAATAATTAGAAACTTGGACAAGATTTATTTTCAAAGATTTTTCACTACAGTCTTATTTATAAATTTAGAACTTCCAAGCAACTAATCAAAATAGGAGAAATTTTTAAAGTATATTATACTGCCATATAATGGAACATTAGGTAGCCATTTAAAAGTCACATTTAACATGAAGAGAAGCTGCTCAGAATATGTTAAGTGAAAGAAAAAAAAGCAGGCTGTGAAAATTAATACAACTTTATTTTAAAAATACAAAAAGGCCTGATGGACATATGTATACTTTGGTAATAGGACTAAGTATTTTTATCTTTTGACAATAAAACTTTGTGTTTTTAAATTTCTTTGGATCTATCTTCTCGTTTTTTCAACATTCTCCACAATGAGGAAGTCATACTTTCATTTTTTAATTATTTATAACTTTAAAGAACATTTGTATGTGCTAGGCACTGTTCTCAATGTTTTATGCATATGAACGCATTTAATCTGGAAAACATTTCTAAGATACAGAAAAGTTAAATGACTTGCCTAAAGTCACACTATAAGTCATAATTTGAAACCATGCAATCTGACTCTGGAGACTCCTCTTTTGTACCACTACCCTATACTGTTTGTGGAAGTACTGCATTTATGTTCAAAGAATAACTTTAAAAAGAACAATTATTAAGACATCCCACAGAATGGGAGAAAATATTTGCAAGTCATCTATCTGATAAGGGTCTAGTATCCAGAATACATAAAGAAATCTTTTATGACTCAATAAAACAAAACAAACAAAACTCGAAAAGCGAAAAGCATCTCAATTAGAAAATGGGCAAAGAATCTGAAGAGATTTCTCCAAAGAAGATATCCAAATGATCAATAAGCATATGAAAAGGTGCTCAACATCAATAATCATTAAGAATATGTATATCAAAACCATAATGAGATAGTACTTCATATCCACTAGGATGGCTATAATGAAAAAATGGAATAAGTGTTGGCAAGGATAGAGAAATTGGAACCCTCATACACTGGGGTCGGCTGCTCTGGAAATAGTTCAGCAGTTTTTCAAAAGATTTAAACACGGAGTTATTGTATGAGTCAGCAATCCCACTTCTAGGTAGAAACCCAAGAGAAATGAAAACATCATGTCCACAAAAAACTTGTATGTAAATGTTCATAGCAGCATTATTCATAATAGCCAAAAAGTGGAAACAACCCAAATGTCCATCAGCTGACGAATGGGTAAGCAAAATGCCATATATACATATAATGGAACATTATTCAGCAATCAAAATAAATGAAGTAAGTACATACTACAACATGGATGAATCTTGAAAACATGATATGTGTAAGAAGGTAGACACAAAGGGCTACATATTGCATAATTTCATTTATATGATAGGTCCAGACTAAGTAAATCAATCAAAACAAGGTAGATTAGTGGTTGCCAGGTGCTGGAGGTAATGTGGAATAGAGAGTGACTGCTTAAGGGGTACTGGGCTGCCTTACAATGTGATGAAAATGTTCTGGAATTAGATAGTAGTGTTGATGGCTGCACAACATTGTGAATATGCTAAAACCACTGTCTGTTAAAATGATGAATTTTACATCATGTGAATTTTATCTGAATTTTTAAAAAGAACAAGTTATCTTTAGTTAAAAACTCAGAGGAGTTGCACAACTACAAAGACTATCTACTTTCTTTTTCTTTTATACTTAAGTATTAACTTGAAAATGTCAAATTACTGTGCCTCATCTATAAAACAGGATAATAATAATACCATTCTAAGAGGGTTTGAAAAAGATTGAGTTGATATGCATAAAGCACTCAGAACAGTGCCTGACACAATGGCTCTCAACAACTGTTAGCTATTAGTGGTAGTATTGTATTTGTAGTCTAACCAAAATGTGGAAAAAATTTCTGTCTAACAAACACTTCAATGAGTAGATTTATTTGACTATAATCAAGAAGGAAAAAGCACAAGCTGATTTTTATGTGGCTGCTGCTGGCCTAGCACTTAATTTTAAAATACAATAAACATTTCGGTCTGTGATTAGAACAAGATGCTGCAGAATTTCAGGTATATTAATCCTGCTTTACCTGTCATGAGAGCACAAAGACACCAAAAACTGAATAATTCTATGAGAACTACTAGAAGGTCAACATGAAAGAAAGAAGCTTGGAGAAACTGGGTAATTTTCCAGCTCCTTCCGAGTTATTAATAGATATTCACAGAGCCACTTCACAGCAATACTTACAACACTAGATTTCTAGACTACCAAACTTACCCATATTTAAGTAGAAATTAAACACACATCCTGAAGCCAGACAATGGTTATGGACTCTTTTAGACTAGAAAACAGTACTTCTTCTTTCCTTTAAATTAACTATTTTTATAGTTAATAATAACTGCTTATCTGATTATAAGGCAAAAAATCAAGATGTTACAAGGCTTCAGGGAAGAAGAGCAAGCTGGCAAAATCTAATTGCTTAAGAGAACAGCTTTACCTATGTTTTACAGTTATGTAATACAATAGAGGTCAGGCAGCTGATGAAGCAGAGAGAGAAAATTTCGACCAAGGCTGAGCACTATAAATAGTGCCTGAAGCCACAAATAACAGGACACATTCTACATGAGTCAAAAGTGGAAATGACTATTAGATTAGTATTGGTCTTTTGCAGTCACAAGAGAACATAAATAATAGGACATCAACAAATATTTACTAAATGTCTACCATATTCAACGAATCACGGTATGTGGACAAATATATCTTCTATGAGGTTATAAACTACAGGTTGTTTATTCTAAAAAATAAAATCTAATACAAACTGTCTTTCTAAAACTTCCAATAAAATACTCCTTATCTGCAAATGGTCAAAAAGAGAATTAGAAATAAAGGATTCTCTAGAGATAAAGAAACCACTGCTGAGAATGTGGAAACGCTATTGAAGAGATATTATTATTATGATTCCTTGTGGTCCTACCTGTATCTGTGCTTTTCATTCCCATTCTGAATTGTATCTGCTTGCCATGAAGGACCCCAGAAAGGTATTTAGCAGTCCAGTGTTGTGCTGGCCAATCAAAAACCATGTTACAGAAGATTGCAGGTTGTTGTAAAGACATGATAATTTCTTTTGCTTTCTCTGGCGTAAAAGGTTTGACACGTTCAACTAGAGAAAGAGATAAACAGAGGAATAGATAACTATAAAGTTATTTCATACAATATGAAAAAATAGCTAATATCGTTTCTATTATGGTAAATCTTTCTGTGTAATTACACTGCATTTACACGTCACTTATTACTGTTCATCAAATATTTAGCATCAAACAACCATAATTCTTAAATAATTTTTCTCATTAAATTTTAAATGTTGGAAAATATTTATAATTTTCAACATCAAAACTGTTTTTAAAGAAGGCTTTTCAACTATCTAAACTTAAAAAGATGTAATTTTTTTAAAGATCTAATTTTTTGAAAATATAATTTCTAAATAGAGAAGTATGTAAGAAATGCTGATGGAAACTACTTTAGAACAGCTAGAGTTGCTGGAGTCAGCAACAATTCTACTTGCTATATCACATGTTTATGCCAAAAAGACCACTGAATTAATACAGTCAATGGGAAAGGGGGAATGATTTTCATTGCAAGATTTAAAAAGATAAGAAATGTGCTAGGATTCTTACCTTCAACTGGATCTATAAATAGTATAGGGGATATTCGCAAACTGAGTCCTTCAATAAATTTCACTGAATCATAGAATTAACAAATTAACTGAATCAACAAATTCTGGTTAGGATAGTAAAGATTAGTATTTGTTAAATAAAACAAGTTTCTATTTAAAGATGTCTTAAGATGACAGTTTTTTGGGAAAGTTAACAAATTTCATACTTATGGTTCTCTAGAACAATCAGCTAAATCTTGTATTTCACTGTTACTTAATCTGTAATTACACTTAATTAAAAAAAATTTAAGAAAAGCTCATAAATAACCCATCACCCAACTTTCTTCTAAACTTTCTGATAAAAGAGGGATGAGAAAGCACTCATCAAGGAACTTGAGTCATTTGTACTTATAGAATGCAAGGCTTGCTTTTTTTAAGAAAAAAAAATTTAACTCAGTTTGGCTTCCTTTCTCAGATAAAGGCAAAAATTCAGAATCATTCCCTAAACCCTCGGTGAAGTGAGCAGGCTCTACGTCAATATCTGAGACCAATCTGTCACCTTCTACATAGTCAAGGCTCTCAAGTGAGGAGATTAGTGTGGATGCTTAGAGGGAAAAGGTCAGGTAGAAAGGCTGAGGACTACCTGGAGTGAGGAAAAGGCATTCAGGTCTCGCTGTTAAAGAAGACCCAAGTCTATCATTAGGTGACCTTTAAGTATTGAAGAGCCCTACTAAGGAAAACAGGAGGTGACAAGGAATAAAATTTTCTATCTTTCCTTGAGATTTTTTTCACTCTTGACGCGCATGATAAATTCACTTTAAAGGTCTGAACACATACTGAATTGTAAATTTAAGTACAAGGTTACCTAGACTGCAATGCACTGAATCTTCCTGGACTTGGAATGCCTTGATTCTGTGTGTATGAAAATGGACAACCTGCATATCTTATTATATATTTCTAAAGTTTTGCTAGACTATGAAAAGCTACAATACATTCCTGATAATACTCGGTGGCATACAATTTCGAACTACCTTTGGGAAACAACTGGGAAAATGAAGTAGGAGTCTCAAACGACCACCCATTAAACTAGTAACTCATGTTATAGAAATTTGCTTTCAACAAAGTAGTTAATCATAAGCTATATATATATTCATATATTACATATGTATATAAATATACATATAAAATATCTATTTCCACAATGTAAAAACTCAAAATATAAACAATCTAATGTCTTAAAGTGGAAAAATATTTACTAAATATTCTCCCATGGTCCATTATATCCATTAACAATTAAAATGAGGGCTCTGTAGAAATGTGTGGAGATGTAGGAACTGGAATTGATTCAGACAGCCGCTGCGGCAGCCAAGTGAGAAGTGTGATAATAGGGCCCTGAACAACAAGAGGTGGCAGTCGGGAAGGCAGATATTATAGAGATGGAGAAATACTAAGAGAATAATATCAAAGATTATTAGGATCAGAGAGATGTGGGGTTGGAGGCAGATGCAGCTATAAGGAAGACTGAAGTTTCCAGACTTTGTGATTTACCATATGAGAAAAGATAAAAGCAACAGTTCATTCTGCTGAGAAGATGAAGAGTTTGGTTTCAAACATCTTCATCACACAGTACCACATATTTATTCGCAAAATATTTTACTATTTGCAACATACTTTTATATATATTAAAATAAAAGTTCTCATGTGATCCTCTAAGAAGCTTGTAAAACACAGGCAGAGAAGGTATTTTCTTACCATTATCCTAAGGAAGAAATGGAAGCTCAGATGTCAAAGGTCAACACTCCAGTGATAAGCTGTAACTATAGGTCAGGTTCCCTGATTCCAAGTCTAGTACTCTTTCCACTGCACGATCCTACTTCCAGGAATCACCTAGTCAGTACTAGTGACATAATCTGCCCAACAGACCCCTACAATCCCCTAAAGGAAAGTGACCTTGCCACAACCAATCTAATTTTGCTAAGATAACTTCCTTATTCCCAACTCCCATCTGCCAATAAAAGTCTTTCATTTTGTACAGCTCCTCAGAGCTCCTTTCTGTCTGCTAGATGGGATGTTGCCTGATTCATGAATCATTGAATAAAGCCAATAAGATCTTTAATTTTCACTCAGTTGAATTTTGTTTTTTAACATCCCTAAAAAGTGCTCTGATCTACTGCATGGTTGGTCTGACCTACTGCAGCATTATTTCAGTTCTAAGGTTGTAAAATATTCAAGCTTTCAACATTTTACTTCCAGAACTTTAAAGGGCAGAGATAAATAGAAGCACTGGTCCTTTCTGAGTAGGGAGTTTATTTATTCTGCTTGTCTTAAATCAGAGCCAGTAGATCATATAGCTCTGAATGTTCTCAAAACAGTTCTCTTACATAGTAAGACATGTCTAGCCACCATTCCACAAATAAGTACATGGGCATTAGAAACACATGACTAGTGTTTTGACAGAATAGCTTCAAAGAAGTAAATAAATATTTTTTCCTCTAACACAATATTAAATTTAATATATATGTATGTATCTATATATCTATATCTATAGATATATAGATGTAGATCTGATCTAAAAATCCTAAATGTTATAAGAGACTCTAAAACTGAAATTTACTGAAAAAGCATCTGGCCCAGCAATTGGAATTTATTAAATGTTTAAACATTTGCTAAATGAATGAAAAGTGCTATAAAGTATATATAGTGCAGAGCAGTAGGATACTCACCATAATAGGAAATTAGCATATTTACAGAATTTCAGGCCTGATTGCCAAAAGCAATCAGCTGGTTGTAAGATAAAACTAATTTGGTTTCTGATCATTTAATCAACAATGAACTGGGCCACTAAATTAATGAATTTGTGTTATAATTTCCTTTATAAAAATGCAATCTACACTGTATTAATTAAATAGCCTAGGGATGCACCCAGTCATTCCACATCAGGAGTATTTCCAAAGAGCTATAAAAATTATGAGGCAACCTTGACAGCCTTTAAAGGATAAGTGTACTTAGATCTAAACTTGCAGAAAACGGCAGTGTTTAATTAGATGACTTGGAAACTGCTGAAAAAACAGATTAGTGATCTAAGTGTTGCACAAGTCTTTTCTCCCTCTAAATATAGCATGTTATTCAGACAATTTATTACAACTTGGTTACAACCGATTCTTTGGCAATAGTGAAACCCCACTAAAAAGCAAACTGCCTTTTTCTCAGTAATTTTTTCTTTAATTAATGCAAAGTAAAAGATAATTTGAAACCTAATTTCCCTGAATTTGCTAGTGATCTGGCTTCTATCAATTAATATCTGGCATGGACTGTACTTGAGATTTAGAATTCAAGATGAGAATAAGGAAAATATACCAAACTGTAGAGGAGCAACTGTTCCATGATGTGACCGCTGCCCTACCCGAGAGCTGGACCTGGGCCAGAACAGAGATTGCTTACTGAAAACCCCTCCTTAGAGCCTGTCTGACTGTAATCTATGTTCATTCTGACATAAATCAGCACCTCCCTCTGCTTCCCACTATGTGCTGCTTCCTGTAACAAGCCATTGTCCTGATCTAGTCAAGCATGTAATTTCCCCATACCTGGTATCATTTGCATATTAGTGCCCATCACTATCCACCGCCCTCCCACACCCCTATCCTATATAATTCTTCGGCATTTGCCAAAAGGTAGGGTGATCCATTTCATCCTGCAGCTGCCCAAGATGCTCCTCATATGTAAAGTTCTCTTAATAATCTCTATTAATCGCCAGACTGAACTGGTCAGCCTCTTTCTTCAGTCTTTCCCTGCCTTCCATTTATGGAGGTAGATTTTCAGTTCTAGAACTTTCCCTGGGTCCATGTGTACTAACACTAGTTTCCAGAATACTCTCCAAATATTGATAGAATACAACAAAGACAAAGATCTTGAAATTAAAATTAACTAATACTCATGTCAGGTAAAATTTTAATAGATATTTTAATAACTAATATATTTAAATTACTAATTTTCAATCTTATTCAAAAACTTTCCGAAAGTGACATAAGAGTAAGTCACAAGTTACAACACAGAGACTCACCATAGTGACATAGCATGAATTAAAAACTATGTCCTGGCATGGTGGGCTAATTTATTTCTAAATCTATACATATAAGCCTATGATGTGATTTCATCAGTCTGACAACTACTGTATAAACATACAAGAAATTTTAAAACCTCTGGAATGGCAGATATTAGGAATGGTAGATATTAAGGTAAAAAATAATAAACATTGGGCCATGTCAGAAAAACACTGATGGAATCATACAAATATCACTTAACAAAATGACTGCAGTATTTGTACTAAAGAACAAATGGTAAAACTTACACCAAAGATGTTTCATTTTATAGTCCCTATTTTAAAATGTCAATACAAACTAAGGAAATTCTCCTGAAAGTTAATACAATGCTTAAGTAAAATGATGAATAGTTATAAACCCTTTGAATTTCAAGGTCTAGAAGGTGGTGCCACAGAAGAAACCACAACT